TCTGCCATCAGCTGTCCTGTCACTTGACAAAAAGAGAGAGGGAAACTGGCTGGATTTGCTGAAATGATGAGGCCATTTAAACTATGATATGTCGTAGCTATACGGCATCATTCAGCGGGACTGTTGCAGATGTCCGCGCTAGTCTCGGCTCAGCCGTGAGGTGGGTGTTTATGAGATGACGAGTGGATGGCTTACAGACTCCATCTCAACAAGTCTGTTCACTGGTTACTCACTGCTCTTAACAACCAAACTTTAGGAGCATTTTTAGTTAGGGAAAGCTATAAAGCACTTTATTTTATTTTATTTTTTTTAAATCACAAACACTTCCTACCACTAATTTGTTTGTCTGCATCAGCACAGGGGGGCTAGAGGTAACATGTCGCCAGGTCAGAGAGAAAGGCAACTCTGTGCATGTGAGGAAAACTCTGATTAACAGTCTTTGATAATCATTTTTATGTATATTCATATTTCAGCTGCTGCTGACCTCTGTGTACGTTTAGTATCTTAAATAACCAAATAACTGTGGATAAACTGTTATAGATTCCTGACATCCCATAGTTAAAATATAATGATAATATTAGTGATACAATGAATGGAAAATGAAATTTAAGTCAATTTGACATGTAATATGGACAAATAAGATATTTCAAAGTAAAACTAATAATTAAGACTAATTTATTACAATATATACTTAGAAGCTGATGGGAATGATAAGGGGTTTATTCTTAATGAGCCCTAACAAGTTTCATTTTAACAACTTAAGAACTTAAAGCCATATAAACAGTTAAATATTTTATATATGCAATGTTCAAGTAGGCTAAAGCTAAAAGAACCTGCTACTTACGCCCCAAAATGTCTCTGCGAGCAAGTGCAGCAAAGTGTAATATTGCATCACAGCTGTAAATGTTTTAGCATCTACATTAATACCAAAATAGGCTAAATACTAATTAATGCTAAATTATTATTTTTATTTTTTTACTTATTATTTCTAAGAGGTTGCAGCTGAACATGTCAATGCTATTTGACTGACACTGAAAACACTGTGTATTTATTTCCAACCATTATATTATTTTACATATGTGGAGCATGACTGCACCTCTAGGCTTCATCTTGTAGCTCTAGAGGTTGTAACATTTCCGGTATATTTATAGGGTTTGAAAATGGGAAAACTGGAAGCACAGTGCTGATGATTGGAGAAATAGTTAAAGAAGTGCCCACTGAGAAAATATCAAGGCTGACCATCTAGCTCTAGTTTCTCTTAGTTAGGCTTTTATGTGTTTTGGACGAAGATCACTCCGCACCAACTTGATGCATGCATGAGTTGAGGAGGCAAAAGCAGCACATGATGTATATTTTCAATAGGAGCTATAATGCACCATTTTAAAATGTGATCTGGCCAATAGACACTGCTGGTCAAACCCCTTATTATTATGCAGAGCTTTAAATTCTCCTGCAGCCACCTAATGAAAAGGGCTGCTGCTGCTGCAACGCGCATCAACACACAGTCAGGCATGGGAACGGTCGACAGCAGCTGTTGATAATAGTGTACAAGATGTATAGGAGTAAGTTAGCGCCAAAGATTTTTTGGGGACGGGGGTGGGGTTAAATTTGTGTTTAGTGAGTGATGTAGGAGATGTGATAATGAGAGGCCAAGGAGAGCAAGTGTTACCTCATTATTGTAATGAAAAAGATATCCCACCATTACATCAGTTGGAAAAAGTGGCAATTAAAGTGCCCAACAAGGTTCCTTGAGGCAAGAAGAAGAAGAAAACGACTCTCTAAAGCCCATCTGTTCTGGATAATATGCGCCACGTAAAAGAAAAGCCTAATCCTCTTTATTCAAGTCTGCTGCACTTTTCTTTTTTTTTCCACCATGTGATTGTGTTTTCTCAAGTATTGCTCATCTTCACCAGAACTCCGTTTGGCCCCAGCAGCTTCTTCACAGATAGTTCTAGTCCAAACAATAATAATAATGTTTCATCATCTATCAAGACAGTTTAAAAAAAACAAAAAAAACACATATCTAATAAATTGCGTTTTTGTTTTATAGGTCAAAAAATACTCTCGAGTTCTGACTATTAACGCCTCTGAAAAACCTTTTCAAAATAAATCAAAAAAGCATGATAATAATAATAATTTTACATTCATCCTGCCATTGACTGAATCCATAACAAATGCAAATGATGCCAGTCAGCGTAATGGTGCCAGTTAACTCAGACTCACTGTGGCCCAGTTTAAAATGACTGAGAGATTTCAGCTGCTTTGTTTTGTCGCTGTAAATTCGCGTATTTACTGAGAAAGAGAGAGAGAGAGAGGAAAAAAAATCCTGCAATAAACTGACTATAGAGCAACGCCCAAAATTAGCAGGTAGCATGAGATGGAAGCAGCCTATTAATTCAGTGCTGCTGTATGGCTTAGGCGATTATTAATGAATTGGAGCAGCCCGCACAACCGCCGACACCCCCACCCCACCCCCCCAACACCACCACACCCCACCCCTCCCCTCCCCTCCCACCCGCAGAGTGCAATAAATAAATAATGCTGTAGAAGTCATGCATATGAACAACATGCGTCGGCACTATACTGCTGTAATGGGCTGAAGCTGTTGGGTCAATATGGTAGGCTAATATTTTTCAACATTGGCGATATAGGCCAGGGCTGTTTTCGCAATCATCTCCTATTGCTTACAAGGCCAAGAAGGGAGCGATTCATCCTGCACCAGCGCGCTCTCCAAACGCCTCCTCTGCACCCTGATGTGGTCTCGCTCTGTTATCCATAAACCCCGAGATTTAATGAGAATGGATATTGTATTTAGTGTAATTACTCTGAGCCGCACTGTACGAGGAGCGCGCCATAATTGTAGCTGTGAACACTCGAGCCAATAATAATTCTGGCGCTTGTCTTAGCAATGTGGTTAAATGGGAGGGAAAAAAAATAAATAACGCATTTTAATGTGTCTATATGTCCTTAAAGGCTCCCGTCAGTGGAGGAAAAGCCATGCTGCAGAAAGTGAAAGCAGCGCGGCTGTTCTGCACTAAATGACTGAGAGAAGTGTCCATGCAGTGAATGACAAGCAGACGGCTTAAACAGGCATCATTAACATGTGTTCAAAGTATTAAGAAGCAGCTAAACTTAAGCCTGTGTTTACTGCTTCCACTGGCAAAGTGACACTGCTGTCATATGTTCGTGGCTGTCTGCGGGCCTGTGCATATGTGAACATGGCCGCTCTGCTTAGAAGACACACTTTCAAAAAATAAAAATGCAGCATGTAAAATGTAAAATGTAGCCAAGGCCATCTTCCTCTAGAATATGACCAGAATGAAAATATCAGAAACAATAAAGCAAAAACAATCGCGTATGAAATAGAAAGAATTTGATGTCAACACACACACACACACACACAAAAAAATTGTAAAAAGGTAGAATTGAATATGTGTGTGAGGCTACTGAAGGTCAATTTAGCTCACAGTAATAAGCAACGGGTTCAAAGAAGAGAAACCCAAACAAACGAGCCCCGAGGCGCTAATTCACACGAAGCGCCTCCTCGGCAGATTCTCCGGGGTGCGCGCTTATAGGAGGCTAAATAAAATCAAAGTATTTTGATAACATTTAATTTCAGACCCGGGTTGTGTTTGTTCAGTTTTTTTCTTTCTTTTTTTTTTTTGCTCCTGAACCATGCAGCAGCATCTCACCGCAGTACAGAAGCAGAAACTGAAAAACGCGTATGATCACAGGAAATCCTAATTCAGCCAAACCGCAAAAACATCAAGATGAAACGTGGATTTTTTTTCTTTTTTCTTTTTTTTTTTTTTAAGAAAAGGTGATGCAAAATGCAAATGATGTAAAAAATTATGCAAAATTAAAAATGACACCACAATGTGCAGCGAGATCACCAGAGATTCTTTTCCCTCAAAAACCTGCTGAAACAAGTTCACTGACAGCTACTGGTTATTACTGAGAATGAGCAGATTATCAGCAGTTTTTTTTTTTTCTTGCAGACTTCTTCTCCTGATCCTGCGCCTGATCGCTCACGCTGAGAAATTCAGGCTTATTGTCTGCTGTGCTCCCAGGGAACAGCTGCTAAGCCAAGGCCACATTCCCAGTATACCCGACTCATCAAAACCATTCATCCCACCACCAATCAGCTGCTGCGCATCCATATGTATATGTGCTGGTAAACATAAATGTAAAGGCGTGGAGACTGACCTCCAAGTCACTAGTTTGAAACCAAATTAAGTATCCTCCAATTTAAAGGCCATATGCTGCTATAACAAATTATTTACGTTGATCCATTTATGTCATAAAAATTATGTCAGTCTAAAAAAAACAAAAAGGGGGCGAACTGAGATGAAATGTGTTATAGGTCAAATATATGCTCATATATATACAGTACAAAATTATCTTACTAAATTAAAATCCACTAAATAAATGTCAACATTTTTTTATAATTTAGAAAATAAGATTTAATTGCTATGGCACTATCTCCGCAAACGTGCTAATCCAATACCCAGGTAATAATCCATAATATGTCATCGATAAATTCATGAATTAGTTAAAATAGTTTCTAGATTTTTGAATCTTCCTGTTGCATGAAGTTTTCATTTAAAAAAAAAAAATGAAATTTGGACTCGTGTTTAGAATAGAAGCATCTGCAATTCAATTAGTATCATTACTTCTTTATTCATTCCGTTCTTCTCCATCTAATAAACTTTATAAGTTTATTTGCTAATGTAAGTGTATTTGTACAAAAGACAAACAAACAAACAATCAGACATGGGCAGTCCTCTTGGTCTGTCTCGGCCCGGACAGAGAGTCTTTAGGACTGGGTTTAGGCTATTTGGGCCTATATTAAATACCTCCTTTACTTCTGTAAAATGTCTTTAAATGTGTCTTTTTGACGGGAGAAAAAAAGTCCTGCAATGTGGTTCCGATGCAGTTACTCACATCACGTGTTCAACCAGGTTTTCTGGCCATCGTCTTTTCTCGTCTTATTTCGTGTTTTATCGCGGGTGCGGTGTGCCGGGCATGGGGTTAGACAGGGGGTTTAGTGCCGGTTGCCCCCCCGGCCCAAGGCCATGAATGAGCACCCTCGGGACAAGAGGTCTCTGGAGGCTGGGATGCGGCGTGGAAGGAGTCCGGTACATACTGCTGTACATGGCCGCGGCCGCCGCGGCTGCCGTCGTGCTGTCCACGGTGCCCAGCAGGCTCGGGTGGTAGAAATAGGGCGACGGGAACATTCTCTGTAAGGCCGAGTAGTTTCCTGCTTCAGCCAGGAGCTCTAATCCGACCGCCGTTTGCCTCTTCCACTTCGTCCTGGAAATCAGATCAAAATACAACAGATGAATTATTTAATCACTTCGCTCTCTTACTAATTCCCCAAACGCCCCTTTAATTGCTATGCAGAGGCCTAATTATTGCAGGCAGGAGTTTATGGTTAAGGTTTAATTAGGCGAAAGGGAAATATCAAGACACTAGTCTGAGGTCTCCTTAGCCCAAACCTACTTTTCTCACACCTGCACAAGAGCCGGTAAAACTGTTCATATAGACGCTCTATAATTAAGTTTTCTGATAAACCTTTATTTTGAAGAGCAGCGGGTAAAATGTCAAAGTTACAGGAAATTGAAAGACGGTCTGCAGAGGAAAAAGAGCAACATATACTGCAAGAAAAAAAGTGGAAATTTTAAAAAAAATGAAATATCTGCATTGACTATAACTTCTTAAATATAATGTAAACAATAGGTCTTAATGAAGCTGTAAACAAACAGATGCATAACACGTGCAAAAAAAAAAAACATTTGTAGAATTTTTTTTTTTCTGCGAAATACATCTTGACATGACATGACACAGGACTTTATTATGAATGTATAATGTAGGCCTCAGAGGTGTAGACACTTATTCAAGAAATAAAATAAGAGAGAGTTTTTGTTTGTTGTGTTTTTTCAAACGACAAAAGCTGAGAATCATCGGAGCATCTGTGACCTCCAGAAACATCAAAATAAAAGTTTTTCCTGTATTTCCTCTATGTGATGTGATTATCCACTGGGTTTCTATAGGGAACCAATGGTGAGTAAAAGTATTGCCAAAATAAAGGCCTGTCAAACATGTGAAATGTGAATTACACAGGCTTAAAAAAAAAAAAAGAATTCAGCAGCTTTATTAAAATCAAATTCCTGATGAACGTGACAGTTAAATTATTTAACAATGTAATAATTCCCACATGATTACACTTTTTTTTTTAGATGATTAAATGTGGCTCCAGCTGGTTTTAATACTTCTCTCTTCGTTTTATTTTACAGGTTCTGTTGTTGCACCAGTTGGACCGTGTGTGTTCTGTCCTGTGTGTGTGTGTTTGTGTGTGTGTGTGTGTGTGTGTATGTGTGTGTATGTGTGTGTGTGTGTTGCCTACCGTCTGTTTTGGTACCAGGTCTTGACTTGTGTGTCTGTCAGGTTGAGAGCCGCGGCCAGGTCCATGCGGTCCTGCACGCTGAGGTATTTTTGTCGCTCAAAGCTCCTCTCCAGCTGGTTCAGCTGGTGGTCGGTAAAGGCTGTCCGTGCTTTGCGAGGTTTTTTCGTGCGCACCGGTGGACTGTCTCTGCTACTGGAGATTTCCCGGTCACCCTCTTCTTTAGTCCCTAAACACAAAACATGATGTAGTTAAACATGAACAATTAGGCCTGTGAGAGATAGAGATCTGCAGACTATTTCTCTCACTGTCAAAACATATTATTCAGCCTTATTTACAACACTGATCCAATAAAAACAACTAAACAATATTAACCACACGGAGTGGTGAAAACTCAGAGGCTCCACGCTTTCCACTCAAACTTTCACCAACTTGTTCAGACACTTGCTCAAAGTGATGCACACAGACACGTGTGGCAGCGGGAGCAATAAAAGACATTTGTGTGCAGCCTATTTGTCACCTGAAGTTTTTTTTTTGTGTGTGTGGTTCTTTTCCTTCAGAAAACGAGAAATCAATATGTCAATCCATCTCTATTTGTAGCTGTTTTTCAGTGCACCATGATCCCCCCTCTAGGAAGAACAATAATCTCTCTAATTGACCCACTAGGGAGGCCCCGCGCACGGGGAACATCACCAGGCTTACATCTGTTTTCACATCTATTAGACTAATAAAGGAAGCTGCAACTAAGACAAAGAATCAGACTGTAGAGCATTATTATTATTATTATTATTATTATCATTATTATTATTATTACTGTTATTATTATTATTATTATTATTATCATTATTATTATGTGCTAGTTAATAACGTTACTTCTCACCCCTGCTCTATTTTTCTTGGCTACATTTGGGCTTTTGTAGCCTGTAAAAGCTCATCATCAGTTTAATAAAAGGAAACACAACACTACAACATCCAGCCTAAATGATCTGAGATAAACAACATCGTTGCGCTCTTACCGTTGCATTTCATTTCACTTTGAATGTCGTCCCTTTTGTCCAACTTGCTTCTGCTCTCGTCTTGTTCCAACTTGGGCCTGAAGCCGTCCGGAGCCGTGGCACTTTCTGGTTTTGGCGTGTGATGGGGTGAGGATACACTGGTGCTGTAAGGTGCGCAGGCTGCCAGCGGTTTACTGTCGCCCAAAATGTCTTTGATTAAAAAGGAGGAGGTGGCAGTCCTCGGGGCGCAGCCGGCCCCGGCGAGCGGCTGCTGCTGAGGCGACAGCGGCAAACTCTGCGGCTGGTTGTGGTGATGGTGGTGATGCTGAAGGCTGTCCTGGACCAGATGCGGATCGGCGGCGTGCTCCATGGTGACCGAGATGGGGGATGAGGGGGCTGTTCCCACAGTGTCTATCTCCGAGCATGGTGAAGGGGTTGCCTGGCTCCTGAAATCCGCTGTCCTGCTGTCGCCGAGCCGAAAATCTCCGTTCATTAGCACGGGGTTACCAGAGTTAGAGGCGCTGGATAAAATAGTGTCTATCCCAAAGCTCGACCCGCTGGATCCTTCCATATTAAGAAAGCAGTGAAGAAGTCTTCATAACAACAGTGAGATGCTTCTCTTCCGGTGCAAATCAGAAGAAAGTCAGCAAAATGAACTCGGAGTTCGAAAGAAAATTAAGCAACAAAAAAAAAAGAGCAAAAAAAAAGAAAAAAAGAGAGAAAACAGTTGACAAATAAACCCAGGAGAGAGACAAAATCCACGTTTACAAGCGGCTCAGACAGCCTATGGTCCAAGATGTTACATTCAGTGAAAATACGGAAAAGCAAAGTGTGGGTCTGCGTAGTCCACGTCCCTTTTTGTGTTTGGATATTGAACTTTGTGTTAAAAGTTGAGGCGTATAGAGAGATATACATAGGGCTGACTCCTCGACATCAGGCTCCCCCTTTTTGCTGCTAATCGCTCCAGTGTTGCTCTACAATGACTTCCTATACTGACGTCACGGCCCACGGCGAGGGGGAATTAATATTTTCTCCTTTATAATAAACACTCGACGCCTTTTCTCTCCCTCTCTCCCCCCGCCGCCCCCTCCACCTTCCTCCGCTGCCATTGGCTCACATCCTGACCGGCTCCGGCACCTCACCAATCAGGGAGTTGTTTCTTTATCTAGACAGTTCAAGCCAACCATTGAATTGAGTTTAATTCTAATATAGCTCTTTAAAAAAAAAAAAAAAAAAGGAGGAAAAAAAAAAAACATGCATGTGCTTTAAGGCCATGCTGGAAACATTTTATATGAAACATCTTAGCTGCGACAGAAAAGACTGAGGAAGTGGAAAATAATGAAAAAAACCCCAAACATTTCAGAGCTGTAAATAATTTGATAAAGTCTAAGTAAAAGGCAAAACTCCACAGTGGCAGTGCAGCAGCTCCAGCACTATGGTAGGATAAATTATAAACGGTTTTTTTTGTTTGTTTTTTTAATCATTGAAGTTGATTTATTTTCCCAGAATCTGTCTTGTTAAACTTTTCAAAGCCTATAAACTGTGAGGGAAACAAAAAGCTCAGCTGTTGCAATAGGCTACGTTAAACTTTGGCAAAATTCAGAGCAGATTTTGAATTGAAAAAATCATTTTAGGGAAAAAAAAAAAAGAAAAAGATTTTTCAAAATCAGAAAATCCGGCCATGATCGCGCCCTGATCACCGGCTGACGGTGTGACGGATGGCATCTATCGTTATGGATATAATCTGAGAGCCGCAAGGTCGACATATTTAGGAATGGGGAGGAGTGGTGGTGACTGTCATGACAGCGCGTCTTGTTAATAACCATGTCATCCTAATTAGTAAAGTAATTATGAGGTGCTAATGAGCGTTCAAAGGTAGTAGGAATTCAGCACTTTCTTCCCCCGACGTGGACTTGAAGGATATGGAGGAAAATGTGCGGCGCGCTCAGCTGACAAGAGTGTCTGCAGAGAAGCTGCAGCAGCTCTGCAGACATGTGCTCGCTCCTCTGGATCATGTCTGTTCATGGGAAATGCCATCTCTCATAGAAAGGTGAATGTATGTGCTCCTGCCCCACATTTTCTGTCGGACGTGTGTTGTTTCTTTCAGACGGACACAGCCTCCGCACTTCTTTTTTTTTTCCCCGGAATTTGGGGATGACTCATGGAGCGGTTTTTTTTTTTTTTAGCTTTTATTATATTATTTTTCTTTTTCCTTCTCCGGCAGGTTGATGATGAAGACGGTGCTGATGATGATTATTGATGTGAGACGGATGAAGATTTTATGCTGTTGTTCTCGCTGTCCACAAATCCGGACCTGTAGGTTTGTTCTTGATTTAATTGCTCTTTTTTTTAAAAAAAAATAACAATTATCCAGGGATTTTTATCAATTAAAAGGCGATCTATGTATTTATTGTCTATTTCTTTATTTCTATTCTGCTGCTCTTTGCATGCAACGACAAATGTATTTTTAAGTATGGAGATTAAAAACAATCACTTTACTACAAAATAACTCATGTTGGGTTTTAACTTAATTTTCGTTCAACTTTTATAAATAAGTCAAATGTTTTCAGGCAAATTCTCATTAACAGTTTTAATATTTTGACAATTATGTGCTCAAACATTTACTGTTCAATGTTTTTTCTTTCTTACAGCAGATTTATATCAGTCATTTACTTAAAAAATAAGGCCTAGTAATTTTAGGATCTAATTTATTTATTTATTTTTTTAAGAAGAAAAAAAAAGAAAAAGTGTGTTTTGTATCAGGCATTAAACGTAATCAATTAAATGATTATCTTTTAGTGAAACGTGTTTAAATGGAGTGCAGCAGGACGGTGGGGTTTCATGGCTCCGGCAGTGTAAATGTGCAGGAGCCTCCTCCTCTCAGTGGATGTGCAGCTTCTCCTTCTCCACAGTCTGAGCACAAGGCGGCGACAAAGCGAGTCCACACTCTGCAGCAGTGAAGTTCATGAGCAAACTCTGAGGCCTCGGCTGCCATTTAATGCGAATTACCTCACATTTCAGTCACAGAACCTGATAGTAAATGAATATGGACGTCAAGTATTCATTAACCAGTCAGACATTAATGAAGCTCCTGTCTAAAAAACAAAAGTGCCAGTCACAGAAACAAGATTAGGAACAGCAACATGGGCAGAAATATATAAAAGCCATTATCTCCGCAGTGGAGAGCCAATTAGACCATCCTGTCCACATGCAGCCTGTAATCAGGCCTTTTCCAAACCTTATTCCCTACAAATCGCTCAGATCAGATCAAAGCGATGCTTAAACATGTCAGTCAATGTGTGGAGAGCCGCGCGGGCTGTTCATCAACTGAAAACAGGAGCAATCAATCGCTTTATTAGGTTTAAGGCACCGCAGGAGCAAATTGAATGCTACCAGTTAGGGTATCGTCTTATTGGCCTCAGCTGATGGTCGATGATGGGACAGTGTAATAGTGGCTGGCACCATATTGATTCTCGGGCGGCTTTGCGTGTAAGCTGTCACTTCACCGCTGGCGACCTTTAGGTTGCACAGTTGCAGCGTTTACAAAGAGACACCCCGCATTTAGAGCGTCAGTCACTGCGGGGAAGAGGCTGCAGCAGCCGGGGACGCGCGCACAGAGATGGAGGGGGTTTTTTTTTTGTTTGTTTTTTTACAAAAAGACACGAAGAAGAGAAAAATACGTTTAAGGCTGTATGAGAGATAAACATAATCTCACTATACTAGGACTACTAGAGGTCTCATTTTTAAAATAACATTACCAACGTCATGAAAATCAGGATCCAACAATCAGACCGTGAATGACATTAAAAAACAGTCACTAAAAAATTGCGTTTTGTAGTTATTTGCATACAATTTAAAGTATTTTCTTTTTTTAAAATATCTTTTCATAAAACAATTTTTAATTTCACCTGTCACTTATAACCATGAAACTAATCTTTCCTGCTTCCAACTTACAATAAAGTGTCAGCAGAAGTTGCATATCACAGTTTGTCATGTATTACAGTTACTAAAAAAAGAATCCCAGTCACATGACCTAATAGACATGCTGAGTAATTAAACTGCATGACTTTGAGGAAAGAAATTATATTTTGAAGAATTCTACTTGTGGTCATGGGAAATCTAAAATTGTTTTTTGTTTTTTTTCCCCAACTTGCAAATGTTTGTATTTGAAATTAGAAACAAATTATGCAAATTTCACTAATTTGGTAAAGTTTTGCATTCATCAGTTTACACAGCTACAATGTGAAAATGGGAAGATTTGTTAGTGAGCATCTGATCCAAGCCTGGCTGTCCTTCACAGACGGTCAGATGGCCAATTGTATTGATTAAAAGCTGACTAACGGTACGTATGATTTCTAGTTACTGAAAAGTCAGAAGATCATTGTGACTTATCAAACCTATATCACCAGGACGTCACTCCTGTGTGGTGGTCGACGGATAAAGGAGGAGAAATGTATTTACTGAAGGCTAAACAGGCTAAATGTTTTATTAGCCCATGCAGGATATAGGATGAGTGGATGTAGCTGTCAAACCTCCAGCAGCCTGCTAGATTCCTCACAATCCCAAAAATCAAATCCTTTAAAATCCTAGAACCATGTTGGTGCAAATCAGTCTGTTGCAATGACGAACTTATCATATAGAGAGCAAGGAAGAAAAAAGAAAAAAAATTAAAACCTTCTAGTGAAATATCTTCCCGGACTTCAGAAGTATCCGGCTCCAGCAAATATCACACCCTTAATCTTTGTGCGTCTGTGTGTTTATTATATTTCCCGGGAGGTCGTGATGAGCCAATGGAGAACGTATGGTTTTGGAAAACAGGTGAAAACAGGAAAAGGTAACTGGCTGGGTTACAGTACTTCAAAAAAAAAAAAAAAGCTCTAGTGATCTTCCAACAGCTGACACAGAAGTTCAGAGAGAATTAAAACATCTTCATTGCCACAAGCATGTTGCTCCAGAGAATTACAGTTTAAATCAAAAAGGCTTCTGATGAGCACTCAGTGGTCTCTGACCATGTCCTGAAATAACATTTTGTGAAACGCATCTTTTGTACGTGCCGACACTTGGAAAAATTATCCTTCTTTTTAGATGTTCTGTTCAGAAAACAGATGCACAAATCTCCGGCCTAACACAGAACAACATTTCTCTTTAGTCTCACACTGTAAAAGTGTTGATCAAGGTTTGTTCTCTGGATGTGGCGCAGTCAACTCATTTAACTGTTTGCACTTGTTATGTGTCACTTCCACAGCAGCTCCAAAGCATTTATTCATCCAAATGAGTCACAGGTCAAAATGAAAAAAACACTATAAGTGACTTTTTTATTTATTTATTTATTTATTCTAATTATGACTGAGAACCTGCACAATCCATGCACCTATGGTTTCTAGTTAAGTTGCCTACACAGTGCTGTAACATGACAGATCTGGAAACAACAGCTAAGAAAATAAATAACAACAACTTGAGTTTTACTTGTAAACCACTTAGTGTTGGTATAACTGAGACAACCGTTTGCTCAACTCAGACCTCTGACAAAGTGGAATGAAGCTGTGGATGTGGCCGTCAACCAGGAAACAA